TATATATATATATATATATATATATATATATATATATATATTATCATTAAAGGAATAATGAGTTAACACTAAATTTTTAACAATGTTTTTTTAGTTAATAATAAGAAGGTAAAATTCATTTGTGTACCCATTATTGTTGTATTTAACTTTGTGGTAATATTCAATACCCCTTGTTTAGGAAATATTTTGAATTAAACTCAATTGGCTTTAAAGACATTCCCCAAAACTCAAATTTGAATTTGAATTAGTGAGACTCCCCTGACCGACATGATAAGACTAAAGTACCTATATGTGCTAGGTTTTTAACGTGATATAATTTATTTTCTCATTATCTGTATCTTTCTTCATCTCTCTTTTATTTTCTCTCTCTCTCTCTTTCATAATTTTCTTTTCCAAATCTGAAAACCACCGCCACCGCCTCCTTCTTTGAGATTTACACCACTGTCGCCGCCCTCCTTCCTCTTTTTCACACCAGCACCGTAATCCGCTCACCCAGCCACCGATCGCCGCCCCCGCCTAGGGTTCCACCGTCACGCCTCGCTACGATGCCAAACCTCCCCAAAACCACATGTTTTCGCCTCCTACACACACCCCTTGCCGGACTGCAATGTTGTCGCCGTTGTCGGTCCCGCTGCCGCCTAATTCGTCTCCACATAAATCTCTTTCTCTCTTGTTCATTATCTCTCTCAATCTCTCTTTTTTTTTTCAGATCTGTACACCACCACCACCGTCACCGCCTCCCTCACTCTCTCTTTCATTCACCGCCAATGTTGTCGCATCCCCCTCCCTCTCTATTTCGATTTTTCTTTTTTTCTCCAGATCTGAAGACATACAGTTTCTGATTTGAGCAGCAACACTAACAAAGACAATATAGTCATATTTGAATATGACTATTGTTGAATATGAGTATAGTCATATTCGACTATGTTCTTCTCGTTTCTCACCCCCATTCTTAATTATCTTCTCGTTTCTAGTTGACTTGTAATAACAAGATTCAAATTGTGATTTTTTGTGTGGATGTTGATTGCATTGTTTTCGTAACTAATAGGGGATTTTCGTTTTTTACATATTTTGGTAACACATGACTGTACTACACTATATAATCGGAATTTAAGTTGAAAATGTAAAAACGACAATATAAAGAAAGAATATGACTACAGTTGATATAGTCATATATAGTCATATTAGACTATATTCATATTCAATTATAGCCATATGGATTATGTCTGGCCACTGGAGCAAACGTTTCATCAAAGTCTATTCCTTCTATTTGGGTATAGCCTGGAGCAACCAATATAGCTTTATTTCTAAAAACTTTTCAAGTTTCATCGGATTTGTTTTTAAATATCCACTTAGTTCCAATAAAATTAACATGATAACGTCACGGAACTAATGTCCAAACATCATTTTTAACAAACTGATTTAGTTCCTCATGCATAGCATTTATCTAAAAGTCATCTTTCAATGCTTCTGAGATATTCTTAGGTTCAATAGAGGAAACAATGCAAGATCCATCATTAGAAGCACATAGGTAGACAAAGAAGTTAGTTTCACCATCTCTCTGTGATTTACCCTTTATTTACCCCTTGTACGAATTTTATCAAAGACATCCCCAACAACTTGTGATTTGGGATGATTCTTTTGAATTCTGCTAGATGGCTCTTTTTTGCACACATATTTACCTTGATCATTTGTGGCAGAATCAGATTTATCAGTATCTGTTAATACAAGGCAGAGTGTTGCTTGAGGTGTTGTTGCAATGTGATCAACACTTCTATTTGTACGCATTGGTCTTGAAGTAGATGGTGTAGTAGACTTGTCGTTATCTTGTGAATCTTCAAAGTGTGTCTGTAACATATCTATCAAATCGTCCACTTCATCTTCAGCTGATTTTCCACTGAGATCAGTAAGATATATATCATCAAATACAACATTTACTAACTCAACAATAGTTCTAGTGTGACGTTTATAAAGTATGTAGGCATGACTATTTTGAACATAGCCAACAAATAGACCCTTATCACTTTTTGAATCAAATTTTGCAAGATGATCTATATCATTTAACACATAACAGGTGCACCCCAAAACATGCAAATACTCAAGATTAGACTTTCTGTCTTTCAAAATTTGATATGCACACATAGTGGTTCCTGGTCTGAGGTACACTCTTTTTGAAATACGGCATGTTGTTTTAACGGCTTCAGCCCAAAAAAATTTAGAAATATTTTTAGAATTTAGCATGAATCAAGCCATTTCTTGCAAAGTTCTACTTTTCCTTTCAGCTATACCATTTTGTTGACGAGTTTTGGGGGGAGAAAATTCATGAAAACTTCCTCTCTTATCACTTAAATTAGATAACAAGTAAATTTCAAATTATTTTCCATGATCAGTTCTAATTATTCAAACAACTAAAAAAAGTTGATTGCAAATTTGATTGTGAAGTTTTTTGAAAGATTAAAAGGGTTTCTAACTTCTCTTTTAAAGAATAGACCCATGAAAAACGAGAGAAATTATCTACACATACAAAAACATATTTTTTACCCCATGCTTTCAACCTCAGTTGGACCCATAAGACCCATATGAAGTAATTCCAAATATCTTTGAGTTCCAGAATATTGCATCAACATTGGATGTGACACCCTGGTTTGTTTGCCTTTTTGACACATTCCACACATAGAATCATCATTGAAATTTAGATTTGAAACTCCTTTGGCAACACCATATTTATTCAGCACATGGATATTCTTGAAGTTGTTGTGACCCATTTTTTATGTGATACATAGATATCGCTTGTGTGTGAACTCTGACATATAATATTTTCACATATTTGATAACAATTATCTGTAGATCTTGAATGTGTCATAAGACAATGATGATTAACATCATACACGTAGCAAAGGAGTTTATCAAATTCAACCCTTAGATCATTATCACATAATTGGCTGATATTGATAAGGTTTGATTTTAAGCCTTCTACGTGTAACACATTGTTAAGCTTAGGCAAATCAATAACATCCAGTGTTCCTTTACCAATAAGTTTTCCTTTTGTACCTCTATCATAAGTAACTTATCCTCCACTCGATGGTTCCTTATGCCTGTCATGTGTCTTGAACATCCACTATCAAAATACCATGATCCTGAAAGATTAGCATTAAACTAAGTATACACGACATTCCAGGTAATTTACTCACCTTTTAGGATCCATATCTTTCTAATTCTAGATATTATAACCTTCTTTTTATGAGTGTTGTTTTGAGTGTTATGAGGTGCATGATACAGCATCCTGTCATTTTCCAATTTCTCACCGTATGGTTTAATATGACCAGAATGAAAACAGTAGTGACACATGAATTTTCTATGTGTCAACATATCTTTCAAAACAGTAAGTTTCTCATCAACACTTTCCTTTTCTACATATCTTTTTTCTTTCACTAATGTGATTCTTTTTTTAGCAGATTTAATATTAGAACTTTTTTTATCATAACCTAAACTTGCATTACTTTTTCTTGTTATAGTTCATAAACCTACCATATCCTCAAGTTTAGATGTGCCTGTGCTAATCTTCTTTATAGCAAGAAGAGCATCTTCCAGATCAGTTTAGATGTGCATGTGTTGATTTTTATTAGTCGAAGTGATGTCGGATCACCGAAATATGACGTGATTTCTCATGAGTTTTGTTCGTCGGGTTGTTTGCTTGGGATAAGATTTTTAACGTGCTATTAAAACTCAAAACACCTTAATAAAACGGGAAAAACGATCACTTTGTAGGTTTGTATTTGTATTTTTGAAATATTGGATTCCTAAATCTAGAGTGCTAGCAACATACGTGATTATTCTTTTACGAGCCTTTGGATTTGCCTGATATCTTGCACATACACATAAACTAAACATGATATATTGTCTGCTTGTTGTGAGATATAGTACGCTTCCAATCATGCTTTTGTGCAAGGTGTTGCCAACACCTTCACTACCATCATCTTTTGAGAGTTTCTGGCTTGAACCCAGGGGTTTTCATATGCTTTGCATTCTCTAAATCAAATATGTTCACAAGATTAGTAACATGCTTCTTTTGGGAAATAAAAATTCCATCTCTTTGATTGTTTGATTT